GAGAAATACAGTGTACAGAATGTGTAGGTTCTGTCTGTATCTGGGTCTTCCTTTTCTAATGAAAGATGTAAATATGGTATTAAGAGATCACAAAGCATTAGATATCACCATAGCTTGCAGTTATGTGTGACAACACATGTCCGCACCAGAGCAGCTGTGTATTTTTCTTAAGTAAAGAGGTTCAGAAGCCTGGGCCCTTGCAAAGCCTCATAACTGTACACGTTCAGATGGGGAAAAGCTCCCCAGGAGGGTTACCCATGGAACTCAAGACAGGGAAGGAAGAAATAGTGCACTAGACCCAGCGTTCACTGAGCTGGGCCTCCTGATGGCCAGCCATTTCCTCTCTGAGCCTTTGCACAACTGAGAGCTGAGGACATGCACTGGACTCTCACTTCATGGTGCTCCAACCCTAGGAAGAGCCATAAGCAGCGCAGTTGACACCATTAAGGATGCCTGGGCATAGACAGCAAAGACAGTTAAATGGTAGAATATCCTTCACATAAAGCCAAAGCTGAGGATCCTTCATAGGTGATGTAACAGCAGTGACCTTAGAAACCCTTCAGGAATGGGTGCATCCAGCAGTTGTGCTATTCTTTTCAGGCACTCTTGCTTACTGTTTTTCACTTCTAATGAGTGAAAAAAACTCATTGCATAATTTTATAAGTTAATCAAACTCATCACATAATTTTATAAGTTAATTAAGTTCACAATTTGTGACTTCAAAATAAGTCTCCCCCTAAAAAACTCCCCCAGCTTGGCTTATGAAACACATGTTTAAGATACTGGAAAATCATGTGTAAGAACTGCGTTGAGTTGTGATTATGCGTGCAGACTGTATGGTTTGCCAAGTTTTTTCACGTGTGTGTGTTCACTGTGAGTGGTCAGCATGATGAACCTAGGGATCCTTTCCAGCAGCTCCTCCTGCTTCTGCATGTGGCTCCCCTCTCCATTTCCTGGCTGCTTTTTTCCCAGGCAAAGGATCCCCTGTTTCCTTATCACTCTATGCTCTTTCCATTTTCTCAAAGTTTACTGAATGGCAATAGGAAAGAGTGTCATATTTGTAATTTATAAGAGCTTTCTTCTCATCTGTGGCTTGATCTCTTAGTTCTCTTCATAGTGGCTTTGGAGAACAGAATGGAACAATGTGGATATCTGCATGCAGGAAAAATAAACAACTTTGCTCCACCCTGGCCACTGGGTGAGAATAGTGTCTCAAGTGGATCTTTACTACCAATATTAAACCAGATTGTAAGAATTCTAGTAGGGGCTGGGGCGGTAGCTCAGAGGTAGAGCGCTTGCCTACATGCACGAGGCACTGGGTTCTATCCTTCCACAAAACATAAAAATAAACAAATAGAGGTATTTTATACATTTACAACTACTAAATAAGTAAGTAAATAAATAAATAACTTCCCGAAGGGAGCTGGAAAGTGCTGGTCTGGCCAGAATCAGCATTTCATGGGTGTTCTGACATAATTAACTTCTGACTTCACTCTTCTCTCTGCTTCTTTTCCTTCCCATTTTATTGATTTCTGCTCTAATTTTAATGTTTCTTTTACTTTAATTTGAGTTTAATTTACTGCTCTTTCCTGCTTTTAAAGTAAGAGCAAAAGTCATTAGTTTAAGCTTTTCCTTTCTAATATGGATATTTAGCCTGAAAAATTCCAAAGTAAGTGGGTGCTTTAGTGACAAATTTTCCTTTTGTGACAAATTCTGCATGTTGTGTTTTCACTTGAAGTCAGTTCAAAATAATTTCTAATTTTCCTTTATATTACTTTTTTGACCCAGGAGTGTGTATTATTTTTGACCCATGAGTCACATAAAGTATTTAGTGGTTTGCAAATCATTGGAAATATCCAGAAATCTTACTACTTTTTTATGCTAATTTGATTTCCTTGTAATCAGAAAACAAGCTGAACAACTTGCATATTTTTAAATTTATTAAAACTTGTTTTGTGGCTCAGAATATGGTCTATCTTGATAAATATTCCAGTGCACTTGAAAACCATGAGTTCTACTGGTGTTCATTGGCATGCCTCAAAATGTTAATCCCATCTGGACTAGCGGTAGCATTATTCAAGTCTCTTACAGTTACATGAGTTTTCTTCCTATTTATTCAGTAAATTGAAAGAGAACTATTGAAATCTGTAACTGAAATTGTGAATTTGTCTTTCTCCTGCACCTTTATTAGTTTAAGTTCTAAAGATTTTTTTTTTCTTTTTTTTGGTGAAGCCACATCAATATTTGTATAAATGTCTAGAATATTTCTACCTTTTAGTAAATTGATTACTTTGTTATTATAAAATGACTTTATTGTGGTGATATCATTTGCATTGAGACTGAACTTGTGTGATATTAACATAGGCATTCAGCTGTTTTTGATTGATATTAACATGGTAATATCTTTCTATCCTTAGACTTTCAACTCATTTGTGTCTGTGTATTTATAGGGCATTTAGTTTTGTTTTTTTCTCAATCTGGCAATCTCTGCCTTTGGGATTTTGTATCATTTATGTTTAATGTTATTATTGATAACAGTTCTGTTCTTTAAAAAATTCTTTTTGTTTTCTGTTAGTCTCATCTGTTATTTAACCCCCTTTCCTTTTTATCTACTGCATGTGTATGAAGAACTTTTTCTAATTTTATTTCCATCATTTGCTTGTTAACTATAATCCTGTTTTGCTAATTTAGTAGTAGTTTTAAGTGGTGTAGGATACCTCTTTCCACATTGTTTGTTTGGAATCGTTCATTTTCATTTTTTGGAAGACATCTTTACTTGCTGTAAAATTCTAGGTCAACAGACTTATCTTTCAGCACTTTAAAGATGTGTTTCCACTGATTTTGAGGCTCATGTTCTTAATAAAAATAAGTGTTCTGCCATCTTTATCTTTCCTTTTTTTGTACAACCAAGTTTCTTTTCTCTGGGGGCTTTTGAGATTTTCTCTTTATCACTGGTTTTAGATAATCTAGTTGCTGGGTGCCTTGTGAGTGATTTTCTTTCTTTTTCCTATGCATGAGCTTTAATTAGATTTTTATAAGTAACTGTAGGTCTATCTTTTTCATCAAATTTGGAAATTTGAGGACATTACTTCAAATATTTTTCCACATAGTCATCTTCCTCTCATCCCAGGGTTCCAAGTGCTTACATATTAAGCTGCTGGAGTTTCACAAATGTCACCAATGTTTTGTTGTGTTTTTTTTTTTTTTTTGCAATTTCATTTCCTCTGTTTTGTTTTGAATTATTTATCTTCTTATTTCTTCAAGTTCACTATCATTTTCCTCTGCAATGACTGATTTGTTGTTGATCCCAGCCAGTGTCTTTTTTATCTTGCATATAATTATTTTTCTGTGTTGAATTTCAATTTGGGTCTTAGTATGGTCCATGTTTTCACTTAATCTGTCTGTATGAAGGACAGCTCTCATGACTCTGACTCTTATTTGCTGATTTTAAAAGCTGGGTCAATTTTGGTTCAGCTTCAATAGATAGCTTCCACCTTGATTAACTCTGTGTGTCCCTCTTCCTCTCAGGCCTGGTGGTGTTTGCTCAGATGCCAGTTTGGTGGTGAATTTTTCCTTGCAAATGCTGGATATTTCTCTTCTGTGCATATTCCAAGGAATGGTTTCTGGAACTCAGTTAAGTCACTTGAAAATACAGGTTGAGTGCCCCTAATCTAAAAAAAATCTGAAATCTAAAATGTTCCAAAATCTGGAATATTTTTAGCACAGATATAATAATCAAAATGTTTAGGTGTCAGGACATTTAGGGTCAAATCTACACATTAGGATGCTCAACTGGTAAAGTCTATGCAAATATTGCACAATCCAAAACCCCAAACCTAAACATTTTAAATCAGGCACACTCGGCCTTCACATCTTACTTTTAAGTTTTATTACATGGAACCAATAATGTGCTCTCTCTAGGACTCACTGTCCCCCTACAGGATGTAGGCCCCTTCTGTGCACCCCGTGTCTCTGGGTCCTACGGTTGTGTAGACCAGCTGTGTGTGGAAGGCACTCTTCCCTGCCTGCATGTCAGGGTCCTTGCTCTCTAGTTCTTCAGGTGATGCCTTCCCTCTCTTCCACAGTTTCCCACAGGTGTGCCTTTGTGAATGGAGCTGACATTCCCAGGGGACCTCATCAGGTCTCCAGAGTGCCTGTCCTTCCTGCTGTGTCCCCTCCTGCACCCCCTTGCTGTGAGCTGAGGACTGTAAACTGCATCCTTCTGCCCACACTCCTGCTCCTTCTCTTCAGTTCAGGAATCACCTGGGCCCCTCTGGATTCCCGTCATTCACGTGGCCTGGAGACTTCAAGGCAGCAAGCTGAGGCTGGCTCAGGGCTCCACTCTTTCACTTCCCTCTGTCAGAAACCTGGGGCCTTCTTTCCTGGAGGCTGCGTCTTGACGTGTTTCCGGATTTGCACGACACTTTTCAGGAGGGAGAATCAATCTGTCCCCACTTAGTCATTTTGGCCAGAAATGGAAGTCACTAAGAAAATCTTTTCTATCTCCCTTTCCATTCAGTAGGCATAGGAGAGAGAAGGTGTGACCTAAGGAAGCCTGCCCTGCTGAGCGGCCTGCCCGCTCACATTCCTTACACAGGTACAAGCTTGTCAACAGCTGAGGGACTTCCACTTCACCAAGCCGAAAGCACTGATCCTGCTGCTTTGTTTCAGCTTCTGTTCCCGTGGTTATCTGTCACAGTGCCCATGGCTGCTTCAGGCCTCCGGGATGAAGTGTCAGTGAGTAGAGCTGCTGTGTGGCAGCCTGCAGAGCCATGGCCTGTCAGCTCCTGAGTGCCAAAGGTTCCTTAGTTCTGCCACAGTTTTACTGTATCTATGAAAATAACACTGGGATTTTGATAGGGTTGCCTTGACTCTAGGTTATTTTGAGTAACATGGACATGTGAACAATGAATTCTGCCAGTCCTTGAATGCAGGTTGTCTTTCCACTTACTTGTGTCTTCTTCCATTTCTTTCATTAGAATTTTACAATTTACAGGGCACAGGCCTCACCTCCTGGGTTGAGTGTATTTCTAAGTGGTTTCTTTTTTTCTAACTGCTGTCAATGGGGTTGTTCTCTTGGTCTTCTTTGCAGAAAGTTCTTATAAGTGTAGAGAAATGATCCTGGTTTGTGCAAGTTAACTTTGTATCCTGCAACTCTATTGAATTTTAAAAATCAATTGTAACTGTTTGGGGGACCCTTTGGGGCTTTGTGTATGTGAGGTCCTGTTGCCAGCCAGCAGCAGAAGTTTCATGTCTTCTTTTTCATTTGTATCCTTTCCTTTCTTTCTTTTGCTTTCTATCAAGGACCCCCTAACACTAACCCTAACCCTAACCCTAACCCTAACCCTTACCCTTACCCTAACCCAGCACTGTGTTAACACACCATCATTTGCACCAGCGCAAATGGAACTGGGGGTCCTTGAGTTTTGTGAGATAAGCCAGGCACAGAAAGACTGTGCAGTCACACTCACGTGAAACTGAGAAATCTGATCCTATGGAAGTGGAAAGTAGGAGGGTGGGTATCACAGGCTCCAGAGGGGTGGAGAGAGGTTCATCAGTGAAAGCTGAGTCAGATTAGAGCAAGACGCTCTTCCTGTTGCCCCCAGGAGACTCCAGGTGAGGATTTCGCCCTCTGTGTCTCAGAAAGAAGAAAAGATGGGAATGTTTGCACCCTAAAAATACATATTTGAGTAAATAGATGTGCATAATTTGTCTTAATCTTTACATGGTGTATACATTTTAAAACATCACATGGCAATTTTATGTATTATTTAAATTTAATTTAGATTTAATAAATGAGAGTGACATCCTTGTCTTATTACTGATCTCAGAAGGAAGGAGTATAACGTGAGCTATAGGCTTATTATATGTGATCTTTTGTTAAATTACATTCATTTATATGTTATTTTGATGCCTTTTTCATGAATGGATGTTGATTTTGTCATGCTTTTTTTGCAGTTGATAAAACATTTGTGTGGTTCTCTCTCCATGTCCTGCAGATACAATGAGTGACATTTAGTGGGATGTGACTGTTGAGCCATACCAGTGTCAAATCCTTTGAGGTGAAGCAGACATTATGGTGGAAGAATGTGCTGAAGGAAGGTGGCTCAAGACATCACATCAAGAAGCAGAGAGTGAGTTCTGCTCATTAGGGACCCTCGGGGACGTGTCTGTGGGCAGGGAGGGGATGGCTGGAGGAGGCGGGTCATGGGGGGTGGCATCTATCTGAAAGTGGACCCTCTCGCTGCTTCCTGGGTGCCACACTCCCTGCTCTTCCCCAGCTCACTCGCCCGCCATGATGTTCTGCCCCACCTTGAGCCCCAAGGAATGGAGCCAGCCTTCTATGGACTGTGAAATCTGAAACAGTTAGTCCCCAAATAAACCTTTTCTCCTCTAATTGTTCTTTTTGGTTCCTTTGATTGGAATGGGTTGTTTTGGCTGAGTTTTATATGGGGGGAATGGTGACATCATTAAAAGATTTCAAAAGCAGGCCCTCCTGCTTAGTTCTTGGAATAGTGTGTGGAGCATTGATATTAGTCCCTCTAGATGTCAGCTGGAGAGCCATCAAGCCCTGGGCTTTCTCCTCACTCGTTCTTGGTTTGTTCCAATTTATATTTTCTTGATTCAGTCTTTGTATTGTGTCTAAGAATCAATGCTTTTCTTCTGGGTTATGTAGTTTTATGTGCATTATTTTACACAATAGTCTCCTGATTTTTTTGTAATTCCACTGTCTGTTGTGTCAGTTGTAACATGCTACTTCAGATTTTATTTTTTTGGAGTCTTCTTCTTGGTTAGTGTAACTAAAGGCTTTGATTCTATCTTTTTAAAATCTCAGTTTTGTTATTCTTTTGCATTGTTTTTCTAGTGTCAATTTCTTAATTTCTGACATTGGCCTTAATTTGTTTCTCTTTTTCTGTAGCCTCAATGGGCATGTTATTTGTGATTTTTCTTCTTTTTTTGATGCAGGCGTTTATTGCGAAAAGCTTTCCTCTTGGACTGCCTCTTGCTGCAGTCCATAAATTGTGTTGTGCATCCATTTTCATTTGTCTCCACGTTTTAAATCTCTCTTTTAGTTTTTTTTTTAATATTTATTTTTTAGTTATAGGTGGACACAATATCTTTATATTATATTTATGTGGTGCTGAGGATCAAACCCAGTGCCTCACACATGTTAAGTGAGCACTCTACCACTGAGCCATAACCCAGACCATTCTCTTTTAGTTTTTAATTAGCCAACTAATTATCCTGAAAACCTGTGCCTTGTAAGTTCTCAGAAATACCTCCTCTTACTGAATTCTAGTTTCATGCTGTTACGATGTGCTTGATATGATTTTAGTCTTAAATTTGCTAAGGCTGATCTTGCCTGACATGTGTGGTCTTTAGGAATGTTCTGTATGCATTTGAGAAGAACGTGTTGCTGTCAGACTTTTTTTTTTATGTCTGTTAGGCCTTCTTTGTTCAACATACTGTTCATATCCAGTGTTCCATGATTGATTATCTGTGTGCATGACCTGTGTTAGTGAAGCTGGTGAACAAATTCCCCTACAGTTGCCTCACTGCGGCCCCTCCTCTTTCAGATCCTGTGTATACTGAGGTCTGTCACCCATTGCATATGTATTCACAGCTGTCATATCTTCTTGCTGAGTGCACTCCTTTATCATCACACCCTAGCGTTCTTTGTTGCTTTCTACAGTTTTGACCTAAGTCTATTTTGCCTGGTGAAGTCACAACTGCCCCCTCTGTTTTGGTCTTCATTTCCATGGAATAACTTTTCCAGCCTTCACTTTTGCTCTCTGTTTGTCCTGAATGGTAAAGTGAGTCTCTTCCAGGCAACATATAATTGGATCTTTATTTAAATCCATTGATCTACTTTGTCTTTCATTCAATAATTTAACCCATTTACATTTAATGTAATTTTTAAAATGTTATTGTATTTTTTTATATCTGTATTTTGTTTATTTTTATGTGGTGCTGAGGATCGAATCCAGGTCCTCACACATGCTAGGCAAGTGCTCCACCACTGAGCTGTAACCACAGACATCTAAAGTGATCTTTTGACAGGTAAAGACTTCATTACTGCCATTTGAATAATTTCTCTTTGTAGATTCTTTCTTTCTGTTTTGCTGGATTCCTTCATGGTTAGTGATTTCCTACATTGTTATATTTTGAATCTTTTTGTTGTTGTTTTGTGTATCTACTATAGATTTTTGGTTTTGATCACTATGAGGCTAAAATAGAACATATTATGCTTATAATATACTTACTATGGCCTTTTTCAAGATAATAAGAATTATTTATACAATAACTGGACACTTGAATCTCCCTCCATGTTTTATCTTTGTTATACCTGAATTGACATCATTTTATGGTATGTCTCTCTTGATAATTTACTCTAGCTATAGAGTTCACTAATAATTTTGACTTTTTAACCTCATGCTATGCATAAAACAATATATTACTTTTGTAGTCCTCCAATGTTCTGAATATTGATTGTTATTACTTGTACCATTGTGTTTTGTGCTTTCCTGAGTTTCATGTGTATTAACTAGAAGCCTTTTCTTTTAGTTTAAAGAACTCTCTGGAGCAGTTTCTATAATACAAGTCTAGTGGTGATGAGCTCATGTGGCTTTTGTTTGTCTGAGAAAGTTGTGTTTCTCCCTCATTTCTGAGACATAGCTTTGACGTTCAGGTGCACTCTGCAGTGTTTTCTTCAGTGCTCTGAATGTGTTATTACGCTGTCTCCCAGTCTGCAGGGTCTCTGCCAAGGAACCTGTTCATGGCTGTAATGGGACTCTATGTGGTATATTTCTTTTCTCATGATGCTCTCAGAAGTTTTTCTTTGATTTTTGAATATTATGTGTTGTCAAGAATTTAATGGGATTTGAATTTGATGGAATATTGTCCTATTCCTAGATAGTACATTTTTTCTTCAGGCCAAGAAAGTTTTCATCCATTATTTCTTTAAATACTATTTCTGGACCTTTTTTCTGATTTTTTTTTCTCCTTGAGCTATTGTTATGCATAACTTAAGTCTTTTAATGATGTACCTTGATTCCTGTAGATGTTCCTAATTATTAGTCATTAAAATGCTCTATATTTGATCATAAAAAAGCCACTGAAGCTTTCTATTGCATTTTATCATTTAGTCATTGTATTGTTTGCCTCTAGGATTTTGATTTTTTATTTAAATAGTTGTTATTACACATCATGTGTGTGTGTGTGTGTGTGTGTGTGTATTTTGTGGTTTTATGTGGTACTTAGGATTGAACCAAGGGGCTGTTTACCACTGAGCTACCTCCTTAGCCTTTCTTATTATTATTGTTATTATTATTTTGAGAAAAGGTCTCCCTAAGTTGCCCAGCCTGGACTTAAACTTGTGATCTTCCTGCCTTAGCCTCCCATGTCTCTGAGATTATAGGTGTGCACCATTACACCCAGTTTGAAGTTCACAAAACATTTTTAAGAGGATTGTTCTGAATTATTTTTCTGTCATTTCTTTGGTTTCTCTTTCTTTAGGGTCCACTGTTGGAGACTTCATAGTTTCTTTGATTTCCTGTGTCTTTGCAGTCCCAGGGTCCTTGCACTAGTGTTTGTGTATGTATGGAAATGGCCACATTTTTGGCTTTTGCAGGTATTCTTTGGCAGAACACAGTCACTGTTGAGTCTGGCCTGTGATCCTGGAAAGGCTAGTAGATATTGACCCTTGGCAGGCAGAGCTTATTTTCGGGTTCTATAGATGACTGAGCATTTTTCTGGGCCCTGCTACCTAGTGAGACCACTGACTGAGCTCTGCAGCCAGGCTGAGCTCAGGAAAGACTCTGCCATCTCTTGGGACCTAGCTGGCTACAGATGTATTCCCTGACCACAAGGTACTGCTTGTTGAGTGCAGCAGTTGGACAGGTGCAGGAGCCATTAGGTTAAGTGGTTCAAAGTGGACAGCCAGATATTCTGAGGAGGAATGCATGGTTGGGATGTGTCTCCTCTGTGGTAGGTAGCCTGAGAGTGTGCTGTGGGGCTACAGGTAGCACTAAATGAATTCCCAGGTAAGGCAGAACCAGCGCCTGATTTTTGTCCAGAAAAACAAGTAAATAAATTACTGAATTATGAATCATTTTCTAAGCAGGAATGGAGATGATGGTTGCTTTACTGGTTATTATTGCACAGAGCTCACTGAAACTGAAATTATCAGACAAGTGGAGGGTGTCTGTGAGCCTTCATAGCAGGAGATAAAGGGAATAGCAACACAAAAGTTGCTGGCACCCTGGAGATGCACTTTGGGAGCAGAATAGAAAGGTTGATATGTTATACCTTGTTTTTCAGAAAAGCGTCTGTAGAAATCTTTTGGATTCACTAATGTGGTTTACATCTGGACCTGAGGCTTTTGTGACAAGTAGGTTTGGCAGTGTTATGTGACATTAAGTAGAGGTCCAGGATGGGAGTATGGCAAGAGCTTAGACTGCCCAGAGGGACTCGGAAAATCCAGGCCACCTCCACAATGCGTTTGTCTGGTGTTTGCTTTATTTCTTGCTTTTTACCTTTCACTTTTTCTTTGAACTACTTGTATGGATATCGATTTTTTTTCTTTTGCAATCAAACGAGCTCTAACAAAAATGATGTATTATGTACAGAGCACCTTGAAGGCTTCAGTAAGCACTGGACATGACCTGCACCTTTCAGCAGATTCATCAGTGTTATACCGACTGCAGTGACCTTGGGGACAATCAGGAAACAACTTGATTTTTCTTTCTCCAGCTCTCTCTTCAAACCAAGCCTTTGACTAGTTTTAGCCAGAACTACCTTGGCTTTTTAAGACATTATCGCTTTTCCTGGTGCATTTGCATTACAAATTGGTAATGCCCAGTCCCACCCAGTTCAATGACCCTAACTCCATGTTCTCTCCAGGAGGAGGCTGTGCTGGGCCTGCTCTGGGCCTCGACCCTTGTCCTGCAGAAGGACAGAGGCTTCTCCTGGGCCTTCCCAGTGCTCACCTCAGTTTCTCACTTCTACAAGTCTGTTGTCAGAGGGAGCAGGAGTCCAGGAGCTAGTGTTACGTGACTTACCATTTTCTCTGTTGGAGGATCTTAGTGGATGGGATGAATGCTCTCAGCTGACACTTTCCTCATGGGGACCTTGGGGGACTTTTCAGATGCTCAGACCAGACACTGAGATGTCATATCCACTGCTCCTGCTGCGTTACCACTGCCACTCATCCTCTGCTCCCTGTTGTCACTTCCTTGGTGGAGTGCCTTCCAGAGTGGCCTTGTCCTCTCGGGGTCCATGAGAACAGCCCATGTCCTGCCGTCAACAGTGTGACAGACACATCTTGCTCCCAGCTCCGCCTCAGCTCCCCCACGGGCACTGTCCAGGGATCAAGATGCCACTGCTCATGCTCGCAAG